AACACCCAAAAGGAAAGTATAACCAAAGATTAAATGGGCCAATATAATTTTTAAGAGTCCATATGCATAGCTAAAGGCTACATAACAAGCAACAATGCCAGATAAGACATACCTTCTTTTGAGTTGTTGGCCAGGGTGGCCAAACGGACTCCCAGATCATAACCCAGCATAGAACTGGGAAAATGAACAGCGGATCTCAATCTTATCTAAAGGAATATTGACAACTGATTGCTGCTAGATGAGGAACAGCTGACCTTCCTAAAACAAAGACCTCTAGATAGGCTGACTAGATTCACCAGAGGACAAGTCCTGGAGAATGGCTGGGGTGCTGACAACACAGCGGACAGTAGCAGGGATATCATAGTATAAGGGCTCTAGTGGGGGGAGGGAGGCTATGGGAGGGTGCCATCTGGGAAGTGGGTGTGTAGTCGGATAAGATGGTTTGGGATGTTCTGTGTGATACGCACACACATACCAAAAAAAATCAACATTTTTTTAAAATGTATTATATTTGAGGAGGAAGCATGGAAATTTACATCATGTTAATTAGTAGAGGTGATAAACATTACCACTGAAATCTACCCAATGACTTTATAGACATACACAGGCTCCAAGCATCCAAGTGCAACCGATTATGACTAGTAACAATCAGATACATACAGATTAGAGATGCATGCACCCACGTCTCAATGTTAGTAGCAAAAACAATGAGACTTTCTGCAAGGAACAATACATTCTACTGAAATGGAGATCCTGTTTAAAGGTTAAACTCGTCCAATTTTGGCTCACTTTTCAGCATGCCTTTTATTCCTAAACCCATATGTAAGGAGCGGGGTCCTGGGCTACGTTTTGAATTTCATGGAGTTAAAAATTTGTAATCACTACAGACACTTTAATCCCAGCATTTGGGAGGCAGAGTCGGCTGGATCTTTGTGAGTTCGAGGCCAGCCTGGTCTACATAGTGAGTTCCAGGACGGCTGGGGCTACAGGGAGACCCTGTCTCAAAAAGACAAAAAAAAATCTAACTTTAAAAATAACAGCTTGGGTATTTTTTCAGTCCAACGAAGGTTTTTGTTTTGTTTTGTTTTTAAAGCATGCAATTTTAATAAAATGAAAGCTTGCCAGGGCAATTTAGTTTCGAGAAGGTAGTTTGGGTGTCCAGGCTGTGTTGACCTTACGGCTTTTAAGCTGTTTGATTCAGAGATGCTAAGAAGACCCAGAACCAGGCTACATCTGAGGAAGTTGTGGGTCCAGCAAACTCCACTTCCCCTCTCCACACTGTGCTTAGCTTTGCTTCAGAACAGGTTTCAGTTCCTTCACAGGTTAAATAAAAGTTCCTCCTGCCACTGTGGCTGAAGGCTGTGATTCAGCAGACTGTGACAGACCCTACAGTCATCAGAGCCCTTGCCGCTGCCCTGAAGGAATGTGTGTCCACCACAGCTCCGACAAGGCACCCAGAGGCCCCTTCCAGGCTTTCAGACCTTGAGGTGTCTGGGAAGTGCTTACCTCCCAGTGTGGTTTACCACACACATACACGTTCCTCCAACCTACCTCTTTATAGCTTCACCTGCTGTAGTTCCACAGAGGAACTGCACATTTCAGGCAAATTCAATGATTTTTTTAGTAGCCCTAACACAGGAGAACCTCCTTTCAGTGTGGATAAGTTCTAAGATCCCAGGTGATACTCCACCAGAGAATAATGAACCTTCTGTAAACTGTGCTATTCCCACATGAACACACCAACCCTGTGCACACCAGGATGTTCCTGTACACACACGCCAACCCTATGCACACCAGGATGTTCCTGTACACACAGCTGTTCTGTACACACACGCCAACCCTATGCACACCAGGCTGTTCCTGTACACACAGCTGTTCCTTTACACACACACCAACCCTATGCATACCAGGCTGTTCTTGTACACACAGCTGTTCCTGTACACACACACCAACCCTATGTATACCAGGCTGTTCTTGTACACACAGCTGTTCCTGTACACACACGCCAACCCTATGCACACCAGGCTGTTCCTGTACACACAGCTGTTCCTTTACACACACACCAACCCTATGCACACCAGGCTGTTCTTGTACACACAGCTGTTCCTTTACACACACACCAACCCTATGTATACCAGGCTGTTCCTGTACACACACACCAACCCTATGTACACCAGGTTGTTCCTACATGAACATACCAAGCCTATGCATACACATCAACCCTGTGCACACCAGGCTGTTCCTACATGAACACACCAACCCTCTGCACACCAGGCTGTTGCTCTGCACACACCAACCCTATATACATCAGGCTGTTCCTGTTCATGCACACCAACTCTGTATACACCAGACTGTTCCTGCACACACACACACACACACACACACACACACACACACACGTCAACCCTGTGCATACCAGGCCACTCCTGTACACACGCATCAACCCTGTGCACACCAGGCTGTTCCTATCTGTACATACCTATTATAGCATTTCATTTGTAATTTAGGCACAGTTAGAGATGAACAATATAGAACAGGTACAATAGATAGATTATTATATTTTGTTACAGAATATTATTTATGGGAATGTTCTTTCTCTCATTCTGGCTTCTTTCCTTGTTCCCAATTTTCCCCTCCCAATTTCTCCTCTCTTAATTCCTCATTGCACAATAAAAATATTTTCCAAATCATGGTTGACCTCACATAACAGAAACCTCAGAGCTCCAAACTTCGGGTAAGCTTACGCTCTTTCACCTGGGGCCTTTTAGTTACTGATTCCTATACACAGCATGTAACCTTTGCTCGGTATCTCATCTCAGACATTCCTCTTCCAGGAAGCCTCAGCCCCTGGCACAACTTCACAGCCTTCGAGTCCATCCAAGGTGCCCCCACAGCATCCCTGGTCCACTGTCACAGCAGTGGCCGCCTGTGATGGCTAATTTCAAAAGTCGACGTGAATGGATAAAGACACACCTCGGCATTAACGAGGCACTCTTTTGGTATGTCTATGAAGTGTGGCCAGCAGTTCAGATGAGGAGAGAAGACCCACCCTGAATGTGGGCAGTACCATGCCAGAGGCTCCAGATCTAATGAAACAGGAAAAGGAGGAAGCCAACTGAACAGACATTCCACCTTCTCTGCTTCTTGGTCATCAACACAGACCAAGTGGCTCCCACCATCAAGCCATCTCCACCATATTGGATTGCTTTCCCCTGTCCGTGAGCCAGAATAAAGCCCCTCCCTTAAGTTACTTTTTGTCAGCAATGAGAAAAGTAATATCCACTGTGGTGGTTTGAATGAGCATGTCCCTGCAGGCTCCAAGTAGTTGGACACTTTGTGTGCAGTTGGTGGCCCTGTTTTGGGAGGTTAGGAGATGTGGCCTTGCTGCAGGAAGTGGGTCACTGGGGGTGGGCCTCAGCCTTACCCCATTTCCAGTCCTGAATCCTGAATATGTTTGAAGATGTGAGTGGCCAGCTTTCTGCTCTGGCCACCTTTGTCGCCATGCCTCCCCCCAACAATGGACTCTCACCCCTCTGGAACCATAAGCCAAAAAAACTTTTCCTTCTGTAAGTGGCCACGGCCACCGGTGTTTTTAATCACAGCCCTGGAAAAGTAACTAATACAACCACTCAAGGCATAATTCTCTGCATTGCTGTCTGACCCCCATCCAACTAAATGATCTTATCTGCTTTGCCTCAAGTTTCAGGACTGGAGTACAGTAGCAGGCCCTTGCAGATTTAGTAAAAGTTAATGAATGAGAGAAGAAACATATATGAATGAACAGAGCAGTGGGTGAACAACTGCCAGGATGCTGTGACTAACCACCAACAGCACTAACAGCATCTGAACCCGAGACCCACAGCCCAGTTCTGTTGCATCTTGGCCCATGAGCTTCAGGAGAGTTACTTATCCTCCAAGAACCTGAGATCCCTAGTTTAAAATTAGTGGAACACCTACCCAAGATTATTAGGAGCATAGAATGAGATTGTGTATGGGAACTACTTCGTGGGAAATTGTGTAAATCGCCATATAAAAGGTACTTCTCAGAAGGATGTTAAGAAAGAGAGACGTTTTAGATTTCAGAGCATTTAGCATTTCAAGATTTTTGGATGACATATGCTCAACTGGTAAACTGATGATGGTCTTGGGCCTTTGCCTCTCATTTCCAGTGCGGAGTGTCGCCCAGAACACGAGTATATCCTCACCATCATCTCCGTGTCCACACCAATTCACACCTGCACCTACAAAGCATTCTTGAGCACACTGGTTTCAGCCATCTCTTTTCTGACCTCCTGTGTTCCTGCGCTCACGGTTCCACACTCTTGTGTTCCCTCGGTACTTTGTGCTGCATGCTGGGTCCCCTTTCCTAAATGCAGGGAGGATCTTGTATAATCAGAGGAACCAAATCTGGAGGGCTGG